ACATATATATATACACACATACACACACCTCCCTCCCCCCCCAACTCTGTGACAGAAAGCAGTTTTCTATTTATTCATTGTTTACAATCTCCGACTTTGGAAATAATGCAATTACTTTCCTCTTCTAGTTAAAACTGTTACTTTCACTCTGAAACACAACATTACATACAAACAACATGGCAAACAGTTCCTAGTTATGCCTCCATTTAGCCCTTCTTTAGAAGGGGCCTGTATGCATGCTTTCCTCCAGACAGAATTTACCACATTTATCATTCTTCTGTTTACCATACTTTGAAAATTTACAAAATAGTTCTGTGATTGTTATCTCTGCATATCAATGTAAATCTAATCCATGTATTCTTCACTATCAGTTAAGGCAACAGGATCTGTAGATGTGACATTTTTGTACCTGCTTAAGGCCAGAGAACATGAAGGCATCACTGGGTTCCACTGACACCTCCACATCCTGGACTAAATTGGTTTTATTTTGCAGGTGATATCTGACAGGGAGGGATTCTCGGACTCGACCAAATGACGGAAGATCTTTGGAAAGAAAGTAAATAATCTCATATATAAAATAAGTTTTAAAGTTTAATAAATAAGTCCAGCTCAAAGAGCAATGAAAAGTTTGGAAAAAAGCTACAAGAACTAGGCATCTAAAATATTTCTGATAAGATTTTTCAGAAAAAAAGACTAAGGAACAGATCACAACTTCATTACCATTTTTCAGTAACATTTCCACAACACTTAAGTTACAAAAACCCCAACTGTTTACACTACACAGGAATGCAAACTAGGAATCACTATGGCAGCTGCCATTGGCCATTTTGTTTACCAAAACCTTATCAGATATTGTCAGCACGCTACTTAAAAATATAATGGGAAAGGATGATGGGAGAATCTCAGTACAAACGAGAATAAAGCATAGGAATGTCATGTTTTCAGTGAGCTCTCCACTCCTATTCTGCTCTTGTGCAGGTGAAGTGCTAGAAGACAAATAGTTCACTTGCCCACAAGCAGTTCTAATGCTCTTTTCTTTCCTGGGACGCTGCCAGGGCATGGGTGGATGGAACAATTCTTGCCATAAGACTCTAGAAAAAGCTATGGGAAAGGTAGCTTCAGAAGAGGCAACTGCGGTCTCTGTGCTGCCAGGTAACACAAGTTGTTCCATCTGTAGCTTTTAAGAGAACACGTTCGCTTTACTTTCCTGGAAGCGAGGAGTGGGAAGAAGAGCAAGGCTTGGGGCAGTCTAAGTGATGATGCATTTTCTTCCACTGGCTCCATAATATCCAGCAGTAGTTTCCTATCTTGTGCTACAGTGACTGCAACTTCTGGATGCTGTAAGACTCTACAGCTGTTCATTTAAGAAAAATCTAGACATTCTAATTGGGTCACACAGGCTGCTAACTAATATTACCTGCATTAATATGGAGGGGAATGCTCTCTACAATCACATGTGGAAGAGTGATCACTGTACTAACAACAGGTACGCTTTCCACAGGTGAACTTCTGCAGGAAAAAGTCAAACAGAGACCACGTTGAAAGTTATACAACATTAAACATTGAGTCAGTAAGCCAAGAGAACATTGCTTATGTTTTATCCAATAAACTAAAATTATAGTAATTCCAATGGTTTAAAGAAAAAAAGAAAAAAAGAGACCTTTATATTGGATTGTTGGAAGTGACAAAAAACACATGAAGAGAAAACAGCAATAGGCAAGTAGGAATAGTAAACAGCTCTCTGTCTAAACAAAACAAAAGAAAAAACTGGAAGACATATCTAAGCATTTGTTTTCAAAAATGAAATGAGTATATAAACCCATCATTTAGTTGGGTTGCTTTTAACATCATAGAACTATTCCTAGCTTGGCTTCTCAAGTAAAATACTTCATGGTTGGAGAAAACGGAGTGGAAGGTGGTGACAAAAAAAAGCTTTGCCATCGACCTAAGATCTTCTAAAGAAGAAAACTTCAGGGAATGTTAAAATCATGACCAAATAACATTTACTTTGTAAGTGAAATATATATTTGCTCAGAAGTCTAACAAGTGACTCAGAATCAGTAGTTATTGAGATAAAACATCTAGACAGTGCTTGTTACAGAACAGTTGCCACTCCACCAGCATTAGTAACTGGAGGACATCGAAGGCAAAAGCATTCACTGGCACTCTCACCTGTCTGTAAAACAACTATCAGCAAGATTTTGTTTAAAATCAAAGAGCAATTGTTACTATAGAAGCCACCGAGTCTTAAAATCCAAGTTACACATAGACACAAAACTGTTCAGTGTGAAGGGCCTAAGAGTGCTTCACAAACTATATCTATAATATATATATATGTACATATATGTGTGTGTGTGTATATATATAGAATAAATAAATCTAGAAGTATCCTGACACATGAAAATGGTAAAATGTTTGCATTCTGGAAGGTACATGTAGTCCATTAATGCTGGAAACATTGAGTATCTTTTCATATGAACATCTAAAAAGTTGCAGCTCAGGAATATTCAAGTGCTTTCCCTTGCATCAGTTATATTTAGAATTTTGGTTACCGTCTATGATCAATTCCATTTACCAGATCTAATGAAGGAGAACCACAATTTTTAAACTTCCTGCTGTCTATATTGTGTTCTATCGAACTGAGGCATTGAACAACTTTTTCCTGCAGTTTGCCATTCACAAGCAAATACTGTTTTAAAGATATCCCTCTCTCATTCTTAGCTCACGGAAAAAATATCTTCACAAAGCACGCACAGCCTAAGAAAACGTACCATTTTCCACGTAAGACTCCAGCTGATCTACGGGGGTCATGGCAGCTGAAAGCTGTAGTTGGCTGGTCATAATAGTGAGAGGCCAAGGAGAGGCACTCAGAATGTCTGTCATCAGTAGGAACGGTATATCTGCAAAGACTCTGTCCAAGTGTTCCAACTGCCAAGACAGACACAAGAAGCATCTATTTTTAACTAAACAGGATATGACAATTGAAGTGGTGTGATTCCAAAGAATCAATGATTTTTTGAACACGTACCTTTGTGGAGACAAATTTGACAGCAACATCAAATGGAAATACTGTTTCTATAGTTACAGTTTCATCCTGTATAGGCAATGAAAGAGGTGGGAGGAACACCAGGGAGGGAGGGAAGAGGAGGAGATGGGAAGAGGAGGAGGAAGAAAAAAAAAGTTATATTCATTTTTAAACCTGACCACTGACATCAAATTAAGATTAAGATTATTTTTAACACCACTAAGTTCTCACCAGGGCAGAATGCATCAGTGATCATTTTTTGAGAGCAAAGTGTACATGGTTTTTTTTGTTTTTTGTTTTTTGTTTTTTTAAAGCTGCTCACTCTAATTTTGAAAAAAGTGTGACAGTTCTCTTCTTCCTCCCTATCCCATTAAGAGTCATTTTACCACTATAGAGTGTTATGAATTATTATAGTATGAGTAATTTAAAGTCAGATATATACAAGAGAAAAAAGAAAAAAGATGAACAAATGTTTGTTGGTTATGAATAAAGTTTCTTAAAAAAAAATCATGTTTTAAGTGAATCCAACATACTGTAGTTCTCTTCTAGCACTTTTCTGCTCATGCTTGGTAGAATAGATCAACATATATTTTCAGCATGAACACTTAAATTGTAAGCCTGTTTATTTTGTGCATTTCACAAATCAACACTGATGTAAACAATAACTGGTAGTGAAATCAGAAAGCATTAAACTATTAATCTAGATGAAACATGAGAAACTAGATTTTCATCTGACAGTAGAAACTGGTAGAATCACATGTGTGAGACTGGAATACAGAGGCCACTAACTCACATGAAATCCCCTCACTGCTTTAATATTAAGTATATCACTCAGTTTCATATTCTTCTACCACACTCACCAGAAGGTGAATCACCTCAAAGTACTGAGCACTTGCATCAACTTTTCTCCCCAGTCTTCTAATTTAAAAAAAACAAAACAAAACAACCCTTTCAATAGAATCCATCAACTAAAACTATCCCCTCAAAATGTACTGGTCCTATTAGATTTGGTGTTGAGAATTACCTGTAAAAGGACACAGTTAATTTCTCTCTTCTCATAAATAAAGCACTTCAGCATAGAAATTGTGTTACTTCTCCTATTACACAAATCTCAGTTCTGTGCATTGCACTTCCACTGTTTTGAATGCTCTGGACATTCACCTACATATAAACTGTTTTGCCATCCATCTATTTAGTGGGCTACTAAATATACTGCTGATTTTGCAGTGTTTCTATATATTGGAAACGCTTCTAAGAAATCTGGAATTACATTAAGGAACTGCAAGAAATAGATTCTTAATCTAAAGGTTTTGTATCTCCAGCAACTGATGCATTTTTATGTCATACCCGGTGGCACTTGCAGAGGATTTCCTTCTCTTCAACAGTAGTAGTGATTAAGTAGGAAACATAAACTAGAAACATTCTTGCACCAACTGTTCCACAACGAACGTATATTGCTTTTTCCAGCTGTAAAATAAAGGAGACAAAATGGGCTAAGCAATACTTAAAATGCACTCCATATGCCTAGAGCTGTCCTAAATTTACTAAACAATCATTTTCAGAGTGCAATACTAGAATGACTTTTTTTACTATAAAAAAATCTGTTATACTGTATGATCTTAACCATGCACTGTATGATTTTAATACACAGTAACAGTACAGCTCTGATTGCTTCCCTGCTGATTTTCATCTGCTATTTAACAATGCAAATTAGGTATTATGTGATATACCCAACTTCTCATTTGCTAGTCAGAATTTCAGTTCAGTGTAACATCTGCAGATTTAAGCCTCCACCCAGGCAGAATCATCCTTGCAGCTATTATCCACTGTCCATTAGCCAATGCATTTAATTAATATACTGCTGATTTTGCAGTGTTTCTATATATTAGAAACGTTTCTACGAAATGCATTTAATTAATAGTTGAGATGAGCCTCCTTATTTTGTTTTATCCTTCACCTGCATCATCTATCCTAGAACACATGCTATTTCCAAATTCAGTGCAAAAGGGAACCTAGCTAAAGAAATACTAAACTACAAGCAAGCATTACGCAAAACATGCCACAAGTATTTCATTTATCAGTTCAAATATCCGAAACTAAATATAAACCCTTGTGCGTGAAACCCCTTAATTCATCAATACTCATTTTCTTAACTATGTTAGAGGAAAAAGTTTGAAGTATTTACCTTTTCCCCTGGCTGCAAGTCTCCTACAGGGATATCAGGAAGCAATGAAGGAAAGGAGTCATCACATGCTTCTGTTCCATGAAGAGTTACCTGAGTTTTCTGAGTCAGATTAGCATCTTGCCCTAGAATTAAAAAAAAAGTCTTCATATCCACAGAGGCTTTAATAGTTTGTGGAGATCAAATCACTGAAGCAAATAAACACCTTAATATTTTTAGATACTGCTTATCTCAAAAAGCAACATACTACAAATTAACATTGTTCATTTGGTCAAGAGACGCTTTCAAAAGCGCCAGCAGGAAGATCTACAAGTAGATATATCTGACAGTCCCTCAAGTTTTCTAAATTGGAGAATTTACATCCAGTAGACTTTTCTCCTGCAAAGATTTTGTTTTGCCTACTTAGGCGAGAAAATCTCAAGATCAGAAGCCATATATGGATGTTCCCTACCATAGACAAAGCACAATATGGTTATGTGATCCAAGTTTTCTTTGGCAACCTATACCAACAAGCAAGGAAAGGCAAAGTAAAACGCAAGTTTCACATTTTTAAGATTCTTACATTTTCAAGTGCACAGCTTAATGCTTTTAAACCTTTTAAAAACCGTTCTTTCAAACTACATCAAAAATATGTAAGGGAATTGTATAGATGTTAAATGACATTATTATTCATTTATGAGTTGACTAGAATAATGGAGCTACCAAGATCACATCAGATCATTTTCAAAGAAAAACAAGTCACATCTTGCCAAAAAGTTGCAACTGTGGAAAATATATCATCTTTCCTGTAAATGAAGTGTCAGATTTCAATTGTTCTTTTAATGTAATCAGTAAGCCCAGAACGACCCCACATATCAAGTTTTAAGATTCAAGATCAAAGGGAAAAATCAAGATAGACTATAAACACTGCATTAGCAGCTCAGCACGAACATCCAATTAAGCAAGTTTAAAGAATACCCTACTGACATGAACTGTACAAGTGTACAGGGAATGTGGTTCTATTTTAGATTACACAGTACACCTTGTAGCAGTTATCCAAAAGGCCAAAATATTTTAAAGTCACTAGCATATAGGATACAAGCAGTCATACTGAGTAACATTTGAATGTCACATTTTGAAAATTGTCAAGAATAAATTCTAGTTAGCTGTATATAGTTAACACAATATTTTCATTTGTTCCCTTGCATTCAAAGGAATACAGTCACAAATCTCCACCCCTTGCCCAATTTCAAATGTTTTAAAAAGAAGAAACATTTTCCAAGAGAGAAAACAAAACACAAAGATTATATATTAAAAGAAAATATTTATCTAGCTCCATCTGATGCTTTCACCTCAGCAAGAAAAAACTGTCACATTTTCTTGGGAAGAGAAAGCTTATTTACAAGTGAATTAAAATTTGGGGAGGAATGTAAAAATTTCTGCATTCTTTTTCAAACACATGTGAAGATTTATCTTTTCATAAGGCCCACAAAAACACTACTGACAAGTGGTGATTAAGATAACTACAACTGCATGAGTCTGTTAACTCTTGTTCTTATCACTATTATCTCACCATTCCCAACCTTCATCTTGGTTTGACACTGAAGTATGACAGGAGAGCCATTTACTACAGTTCTCTGCATAGCATCAAGAAAAGGGACTTAATTAGGATACTGCTGGTGTAAACAAACAAGAAATGCCCACATCCCACACACCACCAAATACCTGGCTTTAAACCTGCGGTAAGTTTAACATCTTTGGCAACAGTCTCCTCATGTGATTGGACTGTCACAATCAAACAGTACATTTCGTTAGTCAGGGCCGGAGGTTCATGATGGAGCTGAACAGAAATGTTTGGCACTCTAGAAATAATCCTTCAAGAAAAAAAAGACTCAGTTACTGCATGTTTCTGAAATAATGAGTTTAAGAATTTAAAGGAGATTAAAACAGCTTATTGTTCAAAGAGAGTTCTGACCACTGTGGCACATTCAACTAGATGATGTGAGATTCCGGAAAAGCAATATGTTGGGAGATACTCTACAAAAATTAATTGGAACATCTGTATGTCAGAAGTTGAGATTTTCTGCCAGGAAAGCCAACCCCACCACCACTAACAGCAAACAGATTTAATTTTTCTGAAAACACCTACTATTAGCCTATTTATTAATGATTATTTCCCAATATAGTTTATTGGGGATTGCGTGTGTGCGCGCATGCAGGTGTGTGTGTATTCTTCTGTAAAAGCCATGAATAATTCTTTCTAATTTGCACAAAACACAGGGAAAAGTCTGCCTAACAGTTAGATGAAGGAGAAAAAGTGGATTTGACGTGCTCTGAGATGAGGGCAAGCTTCTTCTATACCTCTTGCTATCTGGGAGCTCTAAAGTCCTAAAGAATTAAGATAGGTATCTACTTATCCACAGGCAGTTAGGCAAGGACATATTAGAAAGCTCTTTTTAAGGAAGTCCAAACAAGTGTTGTTTCTTCTTTTATTCAGTGATTAGAAGTTTGCAGGAAACACATAATGACACATCACAAATATTTTCAAGTTTTTACTTACATAGTGCTTGCCTGAATAGTTAAACTGTCCCAGTGAACTTCATTATCTGGAAGCTTAGGTCTTCGCCTGAAGGAACGTGCCGCTTGCAATGCTTCTTGAGAGGAAGCAGCATCTCCACCTCCTCCCCGCCAATTCAGAATCACACATCTACCTGAGTCTTTTCCCAGGATCAAATCCACAGAGGTGATCTGATATATATGAAATCAAACACATACCGATAACTTCCCCTGCCTTTTGTCCTCAGATCATCCACTGTAAGAATTTGATTTACCAACATACAGAGCCCCAATAAAGATGCATATCATCAAAAAGCTTCTTGCAGCTT